TCATGTCACTCAATCCCTATATATTTACATATCTAACACCTATATTTCTAGAATAAAGAAACAATAAAATTTACCAGCCCAATATTTTTTTTTCATTTTTTTAATACTTTAGTTTTGCTTTCTTTCATAATGTATTTATATTTTAAAAAAATGCTATATTTTTTGAGAAATTTGAGAATAAATTATTTTAAAGGTTATTTTTAAGTTGTAATTTATATTAAATTTTAAATTAATATCGAAATTTAATCAAACATCTTCATAAGTTCGTCAAGTCAAATCAGAAGCTTTTTAAGCTTGTGCATAATATTGTATTTTTTCTTCTTAAATTTTGAGAGCTTCTTCTCTCGTTTTTTAATAAAATCAGAAGCCTGATTACCCTTAAGATTTATCTTTATGGATTTATTATTAGATTATTAATTACCGGTCAAAATTATTAGTTTATATTAAATATATTATTTAGAATGGACGTTGACGTTCCAAGTCTCACTTTTATTGTTTAATATAATATTGCACATAATAAGAACACTGTAAGGTTTAATTTTACATGAAATACTGTATTTGCCACTTAGTTGAAATAGAGTATTCTATTTTGAATTATTTCCAATTGACATTATTAATTTTGAAAAAGTTATATATATATAATGTTGAATTTGAATTTGTCGTGAATTGCACCTAAGAAATAGACACTAAAACAAAAGAGAGAGAAATGCACAGTAATGAATAATAATTTTAGAGACGGGTATATTTTTTTTATACATAGAATGATCACTTATTTATAGAAAGGGGGTACTATATGTGAAATTATATTTTATGGTCATGCTTTTGTGGGGACTATACAAGATATTATAGGTACTTACATATGTGTGCCCAGAGTCTAACAACTCAGGTTCAGCTGGCTGGACTGGCAAGCCCTTGGTAGGGGTTGTTGGTCGGCTAAGCTCGGTGAGTATTGTAGGTTGTGTAAGCAAGTGAGGCATGTCGGTCGACCAAGTCAGGTTGAGATTGTCGATCGACGAGATTTAATGATTTTAGCTGGTTGACCTTTACTAGCAAGGGGTCAACAAGATTGACTAAGTCGACTAAGTCGAGCCGATCAGTTGGTCAAGTCTGGTCGATGAACCTCGATCTCTGATAAGGAGCTCTGATCAGCAGAGCAGAGCAAGGTGATCAGGCAAAGGTTAAATCACTATAATTCAATAGATACCTTCCCTTAGATGAAGAGGTACTGAAGGATATCTAAGACTTGTCTTGTTGTGTCTTAATGTTCTTTTGGGAAGCTTTTGGATGCCTACGATAGAATTGTAGGACCCTGAGGGGTTAACTTCTCTCTTGGGTTGGTTTTATCGTGGGGAATGGGTTGGATCCTCTTGCACTTCATTTATGGTTGAACTGCTCGGGGTTCAAGCTATTTGGTTGTCTTGGTTAGTCTTGGTTTTGATTCATCTGATCAGATAATTGGATCGACAAGCCACCTATTGGCAGACCCTCCTTTGATATGTCTTGTCTCGTTTGTACCATCATATCTACTTGAGATTCGTGTTGCACTTTTTATACATACATTTTTACTTCCCTGATTATCTTATTTCTTGAAATTCATGATGCGATAAGAACAAAGAATTTTATGCAAAAAAAATTCATTTATGACAAATCATTAATTTAATAATTAAACTCCCTTGATTTTCGTGCTCTATTTTCTATAAATAGTGTGAAGGGTTAGTCTCCATTTTTTTTCATTATCACATCCAAGGAATATAGTGTAAAATAGAAGGGAGGGAATGAGAGAGAGAGAGAGAGATGCACCAGAAATGAACAATAATTTAAGCCCTTGATTAATAGAATGATTCTTTATTTATAGAGAAATGGAGTATAATATGTGAAATTATATTTATGCCCATGCTTTAGTGAGGATTGTACATGGTATTACAAGTATTTACATATGTGGGCCCAAATCCAGACTGCTTTAAGACTCATTTGACTGGAATGGCGAGCCCTTGGCAGACATTATAGGTTAACTAAGTTTAGTGAGTATTATCAGTTAGCTGGCCTTTTATTGGTAAGAGGTCAGCAAGATTGACTCGGTCGTCTGATTCGATCAAATCTATTGATCAAGTCTAGCTACTGACCCTCAATCCATGATAAGGTGCTCCAGTCAGCAAAGCAGAGCTAGACTATCAAGCAGAGGGCAAATCAACGTAATTTGATAGATAGTCACCCTTAGACGAAGAGATTCAGAGGGATTCTTAAACTCATCTTATTGATTCTTGATGATGTTTAAGAAGACTGTTAGTTGCCTCCAATAGAATTGTAGGACCTGAGGGGTTAGGTTCTCCCTTGGGTTAGTTTCATCATGGGGAATATCTTGGATTCCCTTGCACTTCATTTCTTGTTGCATAGCCTGGGTTTGAGTTGTTTGTTTGTCTTTGTTACTCTTGGCCTTTATACCTCTAGTCGAATAATTGGGCCTCCGAGTCATTTGTTGGTTCCTTTAATATGCCTTGTCATGTCTGTAATATCATATCGCCCCGAGATTTGTATGATTATAAACTAAAGTTGGGACACATGAAGAACTATAATCACATTCAAATTATTAATATATCTATTGTTATCAAGGTCTGTAACCATATATGAATCATCACATTCTTGCAGTTTTTACATCTATCCTTCTAAAGTTTAGAGTATAATTAAGTATACTTTTGAAATGACGCATGATCCGCTTCATAGTTTTTAAGTATTTTTTTTATAAATTGGGCATATCTATCAACTAGTGTAACTACACGTGCAATATTTATTCTTACTTAGATGATTACATGCATAATGTTTGAGCAATCCAATGATTGAAGCTTAGAGGACTTTGGCGATGTAATACTTTTCCTCTTTATCATTTAGCCTTTAATGAATAGATATTCTAAAGGGAAGAAAAAAATATATGCATTGAACTTATCAAACATTTATTGAGATATAATAAGTATCATATTGAACTTTTCCCACATTTTTTCAATTTATTATTGATATCGCAAAAAAAATTCACTTGATCAATCACGGATCTTAACTCTTTTTATGATCTTTAAAAGCAAATTCAAGCTCATTCGAGTACTAATTTTAGTAACTTTATAGTCAATTGAATATCTCGATGATATGAATCGAACAATACTAAAAGTTACTCGATCTAAGTCCAAATGAGCTCAAATCAAGCATTTGAAATGTAATTGGAAGATTCGAAATATTAACCGAAGAGTCAAATGATCTCAAAATTTAGGATGATATAATAAAATTGAGCACCTCGATGAGAATAATCCAAAAAATCCATGTTCACCCAATTTTGAGAACATCAAGACAATTAAATGTTAAAAGAATAATCTACGATTAAGGAATTATCATGAACCATTTGGTAGAGTGCTGTATGATTTTTGAAAAAATTAAACGAAGTGACACTTTCTAAACATTAAAAACAGAGAGTCAAGAGACTCAATGATTACTTATAGTGCACAAGCATGCCATTAAATATGGGGAGGAAATTAAATGTTTATGCCACCAATTGAGACCAGTTGGATTAGGTCTATCCTAGGCCCCACTTCACATATAAATTTAACAAATCAACTAACTTTTTGCTTATCAATCAAATGTATTCAATTACCCAAAGATATCATCTCTAAATATAACATCCAATTCGATAAAGTACACTAAAAGGTATAGGCTTTGAAGGAGGAATTTAAGATTACAGTATGCTAAATGAACTGAATAAGTGATCCATTTATAAATACAAATCAATTAAGAAATATCTTAAATATTAGTTGATACTTGACTACAAATGGCTAAAGTGATAAAAAATGATCAAAGGTGAACACTCACTCTTAATATCAAAATTTATGCAAAATTTATTGGGACGTCTTTCCTAACTAATCTACGTTAGTCCATAATAATGGTGGCTTTGGGCCACTGATCTTATTACATATTAATCAAGTATTGGAAAATGTGAACATATTCAAAAAAATGTTAAGATCTAAAAGTAGGAAAAAATATAACATCTAGAGGACCATCCGGATTAGGTGTGGATGATATTATTGGTAGTATTGTGATATTATTTAGGTAAAATAACACCACAATACTACCAATAACATCTAAATACTACCATCTGCATATGAAATTACATCGGGACTCCTGATGTAATATTTTTTTTCGAAAAAATAGTGACGGCTAAAAAACTTTTACTATCGATTGTGAAATAATAATAATAATGATAATAACAAACAAACAAATGAAAACAAAAATTAATAAGACTCATTTGAGCACTAATTCAATCAAGTTAAGTTGAATTAAATTAAGATTCAATCTTTTGTGGTTCTCTAGGATCAACCTTTAGCAAAATTTTGTGTTTTGATAAATATTTTTTTGGGTATTTACATAGATACAATTCAATTCTTATGAATTTATATATCTAACACCTTTTTTACATTTATATCATACAAATCTTTCATATGACATAAAAAATATCGCCATTTTAACTTTTAAAATGTAAAATAAACAAAACTTAGAGATATGTAGGTAAATCTTCCATAACTTTTTGGGAAATTTACATACATATGACCTAATTATTATGCATTTACATATCTCGCACTCAAAATTCAATTTTTAAAGAGGATTTAGCTGTAAAAATTAAAGTTTGGGTATGAGATATGTACATGCATAAGAATTGGGCACTGTGTGTGTAATTTTTTTATAATTTTTTTCTTACAATTTGAATAGTACCACTAAAAAATAATTTAAATTAGAAGTACTGAATAAAATAAAATTATATCCACTATTTCTAGCTTGACAAATTCGTCCAATTTATAAAGATTTGCATCATAAAAAAATTTCATCTAAACAAGAATTTTAAATTATGAAAAAAAAAAGTTTTCTTTTTCTCTCTCAATTATTTATTTTTTTCTTCCCGTATCCTCTCAATCAATCCAAAATTTCAAATTGACCCCTACTTTATGTTCTTTCCCTGTGTATCTTCTGGACTCCTTTTTAGCATTTCTTTGTGAGGTATTGGAAGCTGGCGCTTTTTTTATCGGAGGAGAACCGTTTACTATATATCTCGCCCGGCCACTGCTCGGCCATCGCCATCATGAAAGCTTGATCTAATTTTAGCTGAACGAAAAAAGTCGACGACTTGGAGGATCCGAGCTCTTGAATTTCTCGAGAAATTGTTCAATTTTGCGATTTAGATTACGTTATCTTCCGCAGGAAAGTGGTTCTTTGTATGCTGAAAGAAGAATCTTTGTCTTGCCTTGAGTTTCTTTTCTCAAATTTGAATTAGTTTAGGAAGAATCTGTGAAAGATCCTCCATGTTTTTTTCTTTCTGGCGCAATTGGCTGTTAGAAAATCAGGAAGTTTTGGGCAGGAGAGGGAAGATAAGTTTCAATATATGCTAGGTTTGTGATTGTTTGACGAACATGAGATTTCTAAGCATCATGGGAAATTCATTTGGGTGTTCGGTGTCTGGAGAGAGATTGGTGTCTGCTGCAAGAGACGGGGATTTTCTGGAAGCAAAAGCTCTGTTGGAATATAATCCTCGGCTTGCTAGGTATTCTACCTTCGGGGTACGGAATTCTCCCCTGCATCATTCTGCTGCTCAGGGTCACCATGAGGTAAATTTCTCGAAGTTCTTGTCTTCTTTGTTCCAACTAGGAAGTTAAGTGAATTGATGACTTTAGTAAACCTTGAACCCCTTGTGTAGATTGTGTCGCTGTTGCTTGAATCTGGTGTGGATATTAACCTGAGGAACTTCCGGGGGCAGGTCATAATTTCACTATTTCGTGTCTTGACACTTGTTTTATTATCTGATGGTGTTCTTGTTTTTTGGTTGTTATCATGGAAGGTTTATTAATAAATATGGTAATTCAATTTATGTTTTGGTTAAACCAATTCATAAGATTTTAAGCTTAATCTTTGTGGTGAAATGAGGTTATTTTAGCATTTTAATGTTCAGTAAGCTTTGCATATGAAACATATATTTTATTTTAATGATGGTTTTGCTAGATATAATTAGGGGTGGAAATAACATTATTTTTTAGGGTGGAAAAAATCACCAAATGTCTAAATTTTCTTTAAGTATTGGGCAAAAAGAATATGGGCAAAATTACTAAATTGTTTATAGTACATAAGAAAAAAAAATATTAAATTTTACTAATTATATAAAGAAATTCCAAATTCTCGGGGGCAACTGCCTATCCTAGACATAACCTAGTTCTGCCTCTGAACATACTGTATATATGCTTAAATTTTCAAGCTTATCATTTTCTTGTGTCATTCACAGACTGCTTTGATGCAAGCTTGTCAATTTGGTCACTGGGAGGTTGTTCAAATTTTAATGTTTTTCAAGTCTAATGTGAGTACTCCTCATCTCTTTTTCCTTATTTGTTATTTGTTATAATTATGGCTTTGAGTTCTTCTTTCATTTTAAAATAGATTCACAGAGCAGATTATATCAATGGAGGAACAGCTCTTCACTTTGCAGCTCTAAATGGTCACAGTCGTTGCATTCGTCTTCTCCTTGTTGATTACGTTCCAAGCTTACCTAGCTTTTGGAACATTATGAGGAGGTCAAACACTGATGATTCCATGGTAGAATTTGATGAAGGGTAGGTTGATTTTATTCTTTCTTCTTGATACCTGTTTTGGTGGAACTGCAAGCTTTACATATTGATTATGTTTGTAGTCCCCTGCTTGAGGTAGTCAACAAAAAGGCGGATGGAGGCATCACTGCTCTTCATATGGCAGCTTTGAATGGGCATGTTGAGAGTGTGCAGTTACTTCTAGATTTGGGAGCTTCTATTTCAGAGGGCACTATTGAAGATGGAACATCAATCGACTTCTTAGGTGATCCGTTTATTGTAAATTTTGAATTATTAATGATATTCCTATTTTACACTATGATGATATGGAAAATGTATTTCAATATTCTTTTTTTTTTGGGGTTTTTTGTATTTTCTTGTTTTTGTTCTTAGCACTAGTATCTTATGTGCAATGGCTATTTATGCTTTGTAAATACAATGTTAGTTTTATAAGGGAGGTGGTATTTAAGTGATATCTGTAGGGAGGGAACATAAATTTAAGTGATATTTGTAGAGAGGGCCTCATGTCATTTGACTCCTATCAGCTCTACATAAATTATATTTAATTTGGTGTCATTAGTTATTGAAGAGCTTACTTCTGGATTCTCTTCTTAAATGTTTGGCCAAGATTTTGCACCTAAAACCATTTTGTTTTCTGTGACCACTTTAATTACTCTTAATGAAGTAGAAAGAAAATCAAGGGCGAAGTAATAGTGCTCCCACTGATTTTGCTTGCTGAAAAGAGAAGTTACTCTTTGGCGTTGAATCATGAAACGAAACAAATACATAAGTAACAGCTGAGACAGAGCAGAATCCTAATCAATTCAGAGAATACTTTGTCGCAAAAATTTCTAAGATCCATTCGATGGAGCTTTTGTAAAATCTGATGTCTCCATTGTCGATATAGAGGAAGACACTTCACCTTTTGAAGACAGCTTCGATTTGCTATTGTCCACATCGCCTATCGACGAATCCACCATTGAAGAGAACTCTTGCTTCAGCAAGCTCCTTAGGTTCTTAAAAATAACCTCAAGCTTTGTGTTGATGGAGGAGTGAAGCTCGTTGTCTACAACATTGTGACGGGCGTGGGGGAAGTTGAGGCGGGTGAATTCATTGCGAAGACAATGGGCAGCCTTGTTATCGGTCATGGCCTCCCAGGTAAGAAGATGTTTCTTATGGAAGGCAAAGAGAGGAGGATGTATCTTAGATAAAAAGTTCAAGTGCTCTCATTAGCTCCTCTCTCAAAGAGATGACTGCTCTATTATTATACATATCAATAGAAGTAGCCATGGATAAGCTTGAGCATAAAAAACATAGAAGCAAAGGAGAAGAACATAACGATGGAATAGGTAGTAAAAAGATTCCATTTTTTGATCTAGGAGTTGTTTGGTTCACTGAATTTGTGCTATAAAATAAATCAAATTCATTAAATTTGAACAATTTTCTAATACACTCAATGTTATCAAATCGTAAAGTGCAATGCGATGCGTAAGACTTTATTTTTGATTCAAAGCATAGAGCGAAGCAGTGCTTTTATTAACTAAAGCACTTATAGGTTATATAATGCTATTAACGTGTAAAACCTTCATTAGCAATTATAAAATGTAAAGTATGGCTTAAAAGCTGTTATAAAATAGAAAAAAATATGTTGCAATACTTAGAGATAAACATCAATAGTGAACTTGCAAATTAAAATGTCGAACAATTTCTAATAGTCTGCTACAATAATTAAAAACTTAAAAATTGAAAAAATTATTTTAGTTCAAAATAAAATCTAAATTTTAAAACATAAATAAACTAATAAAGTACAAAGCTTCGTAAAACAAACTAAATTAATTCAATCGCCATTTATTCCCTCTCACTAAGCTGTGATCCAAACCGGTTGATTTGCTTTAGCACTTCAAAGCGCTCTTCAGTGAAGTGAAGCGGTTTTCATGTGCTTCGCTTTACATGTAAAACTTGCTTCGAAGCGTGTTTTACAAAAATTGAATGCACTATAAACTATATTATGTGCGCCTTTGTTCCACCTCCGACCTCTAGCTACCCAACATAGGCTGCCGTCACTCTCTATTTGTTGCAGTCACCATCACTAGTGGCATTGCCCGCAGCCGGCCAACCGTCATTGTCCATCACCACCCCGTCATTGTTCGCCACCACATCCCACCGTCGTCTCCATCCCCACCACCATCACTGCTATTCCTGTTGCAATTTTTGTTGTTGCTGCCCTTCACTAGCTGTCTGTCCATTGCCGCCGCCAGCTTCTCATCATCAACCGTTGCCACCGTCGCCACCTCTCATCAATCGAGTTTTGCATTGATTTCATTTTTCTTTAATTCAAACACAATAATATAAACTCTTCTATTTTTTCAGTGATAGCGTATTTCTTTTTTAGTAACCCAAATAGCCCCTAATGAGTAGAAAAAAGCCTGAAGGGTTCATAAAAATAGACTTTCTTCTAGTTGAGATAAACCAAGTCTGGAATAAATAAATTAATTAATTAAAAAATCAAGCCTGTAGCCATCTTTGGTGGATCTGTCTTGCGACGACAGTGGATAGAGGGGGACATTTTGATGATGGTAAGCATCAATGAAGGTGAAAATAAATGCAAGTTGTACCTGCTCGGTGGCCAACTATTAATAAAGAGGATGAGTGAAGGATTTTGGAAGAATTGGAATTGAATTTTATTGCAAGAATTTGTCATATTATAGGCAACTAAAGCATGGGATATGTTATTCAATCAAAAATAAACCCCACAAAAAAGATAACCTTACCTAATTTAATGAATAGGCAAATTTAAATTTATTATTACACATTTATCCTAATTTGAATTTAAATTCAAATGCTAACTTAGTTAACTTAAGTTTAAAAATTGAAAACTCATCAAGTTATAATTTTGATTCATCCAATGATTTAGCTTTTGGAGTCTCAATCTCCCTTGTATAATGCTTGATTCATGATTTGCTCTCATGTTTTTTTGGCAGTCTTCTCTTAGATCTCAATGTTGTTATTTAATGGCAATCCATGTTGATATTCATTGACTAGTTTACCTAGTTAGAGGAGGTAGTTGACTTAGTTTTATTAAAATTTTCTCATCATTAGTCATAAGTTATTTCATCTATAGGGACTTTATAGACTTGGGGTACAAGAGGACAATATCAAGTAGACTTTTTAGTTAATATAGAGCTTTTTACCATATCAAGTGCATCGATAATTCATTTATGAGGGAGTATGGGCCATTAGGAAACTTATAGGCTTTGGCTATAATTATAATTTAATGGTGTCATATTGGGGCGATCCATCTAATTAGAGAGCTCCAGTTCTGACTGTTCTTTTTCATAGCATAATTTGGTGGCAAAATTACACAGAAGTACACATCACATTTTTAAGATATTAGAGCATGATTATAGTGTGCGCTTGATATAAAGTTTGCTTTTTGTGAGTAGCAGTCATCTTAAATTTATCATTTTCATGAAATGGTTGCTGAGGATGGATAAATATTTGCTTTAAAACTTCAGTATATTTTACTTAAATGTCTTGAACTTCAAATTTTTAATAGTATTTTTATCTGAATGTAGACCCAAAATGAATTGTAAGATGATCTGGGGGAATTTTAAAATTTGTCTTCTCTTATCGAGATTTTCCATCTATGCAGTCATAATCAGAGCATTTGGATGATTTATATTTGTAGCTTTGGATTTTATTTGTTATACTTGTTTGCATGCAGAAGTTGAATTTGTGATTTACATATGGTTTTAATTAGTTTAAAAATTTATTGTATTATGGATTATGTAAATTCTCTTGTTAAATATAGAGGGTCGGGTCTATAGGTTGAACTCATTATTATATTTTGTGAAAAGAATAACTCTATTACTTTTCATTATAGAATAATTTTTCATTATAAAAGACTTGAAGGCCATATGTAAATGGAATGTAAGACATGATTTTTGTATATTTTACTATTGAGTATCCAACTATAAATTTACTTGACTAAAGAACCTACTTTTAATTGGTGTCCTGATACTTCATCAAGAGATGGAAGTTTTGTCAACTCTGATCCTAGGAATATGGAAGAATGGATCTCAAAAGATAAGACTTAAAATTCTCACTTATGAGCAAGATGGCCTACTTGATATTCTTGTGTGATAGGACATGTTGATGAATTTGTTTTATAAAAGGGCTTCAGCTTGTAAATAGTTTTTATTTTAAGTGATTGTATGGTTTTGAAAAATGGTTACACATTTTCTGGAGTAAGGAAAATCTTGAATTTATTTTATTTCTAATTTGAGCAACATGCTTAAACTCATTTGAGTGTTTAGCACATTAATCCAAGAATGTGCAAATGAAATTATTTTTAATTTGTAAGTGCATCGTGCACGCCTTTTTATCTGCTCGCATAATAAGTTTGCATGATTTTTATTTCGGCTACATAATGTACTTAACAGGATTTTTTTATGTATTTGCAACAATGAGTGACACAGGAAATATCTATTTAAGGAATCATATAAAAAGCTCTGTATCTTTCATATTTTTTTATTATTTTTTTTACATGGATCAAATAAGAGATGGGGCTGGAGGGGACCTTATATGGCACTTTAGTGTACGGGAAGTATACTTTTCTAGAGTGAGAGAGAAACAAGGATTTAGGCTAACTATGATGTAGAGGAGGTTTCTTCTGTAAAGTCTTTGATTAGTGGAGAAAATTTGAGTGAAATACTTAAAAATTGTTTGGCTAAGGCCTTAAGTTAAACCTATGATTGCCTTCAACTTAGAAAAAAACGTCTGCACTTTAATTGGTAGCACTCATCAGTTATCCTTGTTTTTTACCTAACAGTCCATATTGTAGTGTTCTTGATCCAACTTGATGCTGTTAAATTAAATAAATGTCGTGGGTTGAACAGAACTAGTAAGTGCTGTATGTTGTGAAATATAATAAAGTTACTGTTGATGTTAAGATTCTGTTGCATAAAACAATGCCAATTCTTGAGCAAGTGGCTCGTTCCTAGCAAGCATTAGAAATTTTAAATTTCCAGAAGTAGTCTATAAGCATAGATCACTTTTATTAAAAATGGGGATTAGAATAAACAAATGAATTTTTTCCTGAATTAGGATACTTTTTATGTGGGGCTTAAGATATATCACTGAATCATAATTGAGCTTCCTATACATAAAACTTATGCACGACATAGAGCTCATCAGCTGGAGAGTTCTGAAATACAAATCAATAAGAATTTGACCGCTATTGCTTAAGTGTAGTTATGGCTATTT